CCAAAAAAAAAAAAAAAACTCCATCCTACATGAGACTGAAGATATATTCAGGAAATATATATATAGCCTGATACATGCTGTAGAACCTTGAATAAGGTAAGGAGCCCAGTTAGCCCACGTAGGGAGTGGGCCACAGGAGGAGGCCACCTGCTGGCCACTGCCGGATCCTCCAGCCAAGACACGCACCGTCAGCTGGCCCGTGGCTGAGCGGAAACCATGAAACTTCATGTGATTCGAATTATTTTGAAACTTGCAGTAACTCAGTAGAAAATACCTTGGATTTAAACTACAAACTTGAGTTTTGAATGGCCACATGTTAGCGGGAAGGTCAACAGTCTCATAGGTTGTATGGAAAACATCATGTTTGTCACTAGAAAGGAGAACAATGATGAACGAAGCATAGAACAATGACAACAAAGCAGGTAGAGAACAATCATGACAAAGCAAGCGGAGAATGACGGCGGAAAATGAAAGAAAGCAACAGAAAAGTAAACGAATGGCTTCAAAGAAAAGAGTTGGGCACAGGAACACGAGCACAGTTACCAACACCCCAGCCTTGTTTTTGCAGGTGCATAGCACCTACAATTACAACGGTTGAAGCCTTCAAACGGTACGACCATCAAGCGGACACATTCACAATTCTTCTCGCCGTTTGGAGCAGCACAGGACTCTGTGGATACCGTTAGTAAGCATAGAGATAACATTGAAACGACAAACCTTGAAGGAAAGAAAAGGAGGCTGTAGTAAACTTGTGGGACCAGTTGTGGCGGCGAAGGTAGTTCTGGATGTCAAAAAGATCAGCAATGCCAAGATAAAAATACATAGATGTAAGGTATATTTACTTTCTTGAGAGCGACAGAGATAACCGAAAGTCGAGTTTGGGGCGGAGTAAACAAATGAGGAAGTCGATGATAATGAGGTGGTAGAGTATTTAAGGTGGTATTGGTGATTCTGAGGGCGAAAGAAAGCAGGCGTGAGCAGAGTGGAAGGTGACGGTGAACTGGGCGACGCGGTGAGGAGTAATCTTGCCTGTCATGAGCACTCACCCATGTTAAGCAGAGTGCACAGCATAATAGAAGGTTGTGGCGAAGAATCCGGCCATGATGAGGGAGACCAAGAGGCCGAATGCGAGCATACCCTGATCCGTGAAAAGCCAAGGCATCTCTCGCTCGTTAATACGGGCTACGTCGAGAGCACGGCCAAGTTCGACGACGACGATGTCACGGCCGGGCGACGGTCCGCTGCCATCAGAATCGATAGGGGCCGTGAGGGGGTTATTGGAAGCCATTTTGGCGTGAGTGGGGGGTTGACAGTGATGGCAAGGGTTTGTTTGGGCGCACAAGATGGAGGGGAAGAGAAGAACGCGTAAGCGCACAAAAGCAACGGCGCTGTGAGCGACGGCGCTAAACTCTAAACTAAATGTACCCAACGGGGATGCAGCGGCGCGGAACATCGCGAGGGGGTTGTCGAGACGTACAGGCCACAGCAAGTATGAACCGATAAGAGCAAGGTAGGAGCACTAACGAATGCCCACACAGAACGAGGCTGCAACCCGTTCATCCTGTAGGATGTCGGATTGAGTAGAACGTTAGCCGAAAGACGTAGGGTAAGTGCAGCCGGGTTGATGATTGTGGACGCGACGGCTCACAGGCAAAGTCCGAGTGGCGAGGCTCATTGGACAGTGCAGAGGACCTCTCGAAGCAACTAACTGCCAGTATTCTTCATTCACAGTACACCCCTCTATCAGGACATCTTTTGACAAAGAATCATACATTCTCTCTCCAAGTAAAGACGGCCTCCACCTGTCGTCACGCACACTACACGAAGAACCTTCGATCCACTCTCCTTCCCGTCAACGTTCAACTTGTGCCATCCGGTTTCACTGGCTTGCGTCTAACGAATATTTGTAAGTCATATTTGTGACAACGTGTATCTTGAAAGACGACATTTCTTACCTTTTGCGCGGGCCATCTACGATCTCACCATTAGGCATGTCGCGCTTACGACCTCGCCCGCTCTTCTCGCTCGCCACTTTCCTTTCATCCCTCGCCACCTTCGACTTCGACATCACTTCCGCTACGCCATACGCTCGAAGATCGCTGACAATCTCTTCTAAGACCCACCTCAATTCTTCGACAAACGACTCAAACTCTCCTGTCGTATCCGGCTCCAACACCATTTCCGGATCCGGCGTATCATTGTCCGACTCGTCCGCATCCAGGTACGCCTTCCACCACACCATTCCAACCAACACCAAAGAAAACCCGTTCAAACCTCCTTTCACCATGCCACCCCAGTTTATCTCCCCCTCCGTTCTCGCATGCTTCGGCGGCCAGTCCAAATCGCCACCGCAGCGCCATGACGGCTGCATATTCCGATACCAAGTTCTCTGGGCCTCCGCGAAGTCAATGAGCCAGTCAATCCCAGGGATCGCTGAATATTGCCGCTTCCCTTTTAACCAACCCTGGTACTCTTCAGGACGCCCGTCGGTAAGCAATTTGTGGTTCTTCGCCTACAACAGTGATTAGTCCTTACGCCACAATATTCCACACAGCGAAACTCACGTCGCGGCTCGGAAACCCCATCATCCTTTCCATCTCGCTCAACGCCTTCACCGCGCGGTCCCAATCGTCACCCTCAATCTTCCCAATCGGAAGCTTTGGATCTCCGGAGAGTGGCTTCCCGCTGTTTCCAGTCACATCACCCCTTGTCAAACCCGGCCCCTCCTTCAGAAACTGGAGCAGCTCCTTCAACCACGCTGGATCTTTGCTATCGTCCTTTGCCACTCGCTCCCTGATGATACTCGGAGAGGTCACGCCGGAGGGCTCGACAGAGGATACTTCGCGGACCTGATGGGGTTTCGCTTGCTCGGGAAGAGGAGTAGAGGTTTTCGAGGTGAGCGTTGGGGCATTTGTCTGCACAGAAACGTTCGGGGGCTCGCTAACAGTCGGTTGCCCAGTGGGAACTGATGCTAGTGGAACAGGTGGAGTAGAAGATGCCGCTGTAGCTCTCGAGGATTGTCCCACTGCGGCTGCGCTCATGGCCAAAATCGCCAGGAATGTCCGCAACGCCTCCGGAGGGTCTGCGATAGAGGACGTGATACCAGACGGAATGGAGTTGGATGGTTCGTGCGTGGTGGGCTGTGGTACAGCGTTCAAGAGCGGCTGGGTGTTGTTCGATGATGAACTAGGAATGGTACCTGTGGTCGCAGTCCGTCCCAAGGGAGTTTCCATCGTACCGTCCAAGTCAAGACTGGCTGCGGTCTTCGTACCCTCCATCGCGTCTCGGCCCCGTGGACGCGTAGTAATCTGCGAGTTGAGGTTGTCGAGGGCGCTGTCGTCAAGCTGGACTGATTCATGCTCGGATGGGGGAGGGGCATTTTCCTCGTGCTCGAATAGGGGAACGACGGGGTCTTCGTGCTCGGATGGGGGAGGGGCGTTTTCTTCGTGCTCGAATCGGGGAACGATGGGGTCTTCATTTTCGGCGATGGGAGTGACCGCTTTATCTCGTGAGTCGCCCCCACCTTTCTGCCTCTGAGCCTGATCATCTCCTCCGCTACCGCCGCTTGATTTCACCATATTCTGACTTCCACTGCCCCGCTTGCGCTCTGACTCCATAGCCTCCTTCCGTAACGTCTTCAACAAAATGATGAGTTCTCGGTCGAGGGATCCTTCGTCTTCCAACTCTATGATCCTGAAGTCGATGGCGTCGAACCCGGACGAAACGATTGGACAACATTTGGGTATATGGTACGGCCTCGCTAAGCAGATGGGGCATACGCGATACTTGCGGTTCTTCCGGCTGGTATCCAGAACGTCTTCGTTGTCCCTCGCCATCGTCTCGTCCATCGTGATACTCTCCCCGCCGCCCAGTGTCACGCTCTCCCCACTCTTTGTCGGCTTCCTCACCGGCACAGGCCTCGGTTTAGGTCTTTTCGGTTGAGGCATGCCACCCGCGTCGCTCACATCACCACTCCCACCAACGCCTCCGTCTTCGCCTTCGCCCGCGCCAACTCCTTTGCCCTCGCCCTCGCCTGCGCCAACCCCTTCGCCCTCGCCGGCGCCAACCCCTTCACCCTCGTCCGCGCCAACTCCTTCGCCCTCGCCCGCGCCAACCCCTCCGCCCTCGTCCGCGCCAACCCCTTCGCCCTCGCCCACATCGCTTCTCCCTTTCCTCACCATCCCTTTCTCACCATTTGCCTTCGATGCTACCCCGTTCCTTCTGTGCCGGATCCTCTTCACCTCGACGTATACACCACCCCGACCGATTGCCTTCGTCGTCGACCTCGCACGGACATCCGGCACCAGAGCCGACCGGGCCTTCGTCCCCATACGCCTAGGTCTGGACGGATTCCCTCCTCCATCAATATCTTCGTACGTCTCGTCTTTGGAACCTACGTCGTCATCACTCCGGACCTCCTCGTAATCCGTATCACTCCC